TTCTAAAACTGTCTAAATTCTTCCGTGTATACATGATATTCTCATAAATGTATTGTGAAGTAACGGTGAGGATATTTGAATCTTTAAAACACTGACGTAATGACTCTCTTGAACCCATACCATAAATAGAACGTATGGCTCTCTTTTGTAAAATAAATATAGTATTTATATCGGCTGCTTTACCCCACAGTAGTATACCATATGACATAATGCTATGGAAATAACTAAAGTATACAAATTTAGCCGTATATTTATAGAGACAAGCAATGTTAGGTGCGCGTAAACAAAATTCTTAAAAATAACAACTGCTCGACAAGTTGTTACCGCTGTGCCGCGAGCCGTAAACGCTTCACTATTGACCTCGTTAGTTCGAACAAAACGCCACCGCGGCGTGTAAAACAACCGCGCCACTCGACGTTCGCCTTTTCCTCTCGAAAATAACTCATCTCGGCTTTTCGCGGGTGTCATTAATTCAGATGGCTTTGTGTGCGCCGCGATCGTGCCTGTGCCCAGTATTACCAGATGATTATCTGGTATTCTCCACAAATTTTCTCCTAAATCCACATAAAATGTAGCTTTTGAAAGAAATCTCCTCAGATTCTGTATCCTGGCAATCTGTATTTTATTGGCCACGTGTGTTATATTTATTAATACCTCGGTGATTTCGTTCACGCTGTATTTGAAAATTATGACAATTTATGATACTTGATGCGTCATTGTCAAACTTATGACTTCATTAAGCCGATAGCTTTACAATTTCTATATATTTTTAGCCAGGAAGCTTGTTCTTTTTGGCCTACATAAACGTCAGAATCAACTCAAAATTAACCACCAGTGTTGGGGTACACTCATTTGTATCTCACATCTCATAAATTTACCCCAAAATTTAGGAGGTAAAAACCCAATCTGAAATGTTTCTGGGCTTTCGCGCGTTGCACAGGATCGCAGTACTTTCTCGTTCCCGGACTGTATATATACACGTATTACACATTATTATAAAAAAACGAAGAAGTTTCATGAAGAAAACTAACAATACATAATATCATTATTCGCGACACAACTTTAGCTTCACTTTCTCTCGTACACAGTTGTACCTTGCAAACAAAAATAGCGCATCACACGAAAATGCAGCAACTAAACAACTATTAAACACTATCATAAATTTATGTGAGTCTGTATGACTATGGAACAAAGGATAGGTATACAAATATTTAATAGTATTTAGCTTACCATTCAGTTCAGTAACAAATCCATATAAATACGATAACAAATATAAATCTACAGGAATTTATGTGTACGAACGGTCCTGCTATTTTTCCGAAATTTACCACAAGAAAATGCGTGGACAATAATATTTCTTGATTTTCCCTAAGAGCGGGTCGACCTCCGCTCTTTTAATTACTGGCAGGGCGGGCGGCGCGAGAAAATATTTAGCCACGCGTCCAACGCAGCCCTCCGTAATTACTAATGAGCTTAGGTATACTTAGTTATATTAATGTATTTGATTATATATATCTAATATACATAGTACATTGGAGGTACTTAAATTTTGTCTATGTATAATTTCTTTCTTGGAATGCATGAGAAAGCAAACTCGAAAACAAAGACAAAACTACTAAGTGGTGGATTTATTATGAAGAAGTTAGATATCTCGGATACATTTTATATCGATGTTTATTGCTATGTGCGTATTTAAAATATAAGGTAGTAGCTAATTTATAAAATTATAGCTTGTAGATATCATAATGTTGAGTATGATGTTTTACCATTTATACCAGAGACCATTTATAAAATTCCTTACACTTAGAAGTCAGTTACAATGTTTGTGAACGTCACAATTCAAGTAAAGTATTAAAATTTCTATTTCCATTTCGTTTCCTAAAAAAATAAGTAAAACAGTGTAACCATAACGTTTCGTTTTCCAAGAAAGTGGGCTCCCCCACCGGTAATAGGGATGGGAGGCAATGGAAAATAAGAGGAAACTGGGAGCAAATTAGAGACCGTAATAAGAGTGGACCCAGTCACCGCTCGTGATAACATAGCCCCATATTGTTGTGGGTATTATTTTTTCATCTCTCCACAGATATTTCGTTTTTCGTTTGCGAAATATGTACAGCAATTTCCTCTGTGAATTCGGTTTGGGATAAAATTAGAGGTTGCGTTTGTGATTTTTTTAGAACACTTGATTATATCTTGTTGACGAATTAATGGTTTCGTTTCGAGGAATTTTGTGGTTCTTTATTTGTTTATTCATAAGCTATGCATATATACATTATATTTTCCGTTGGTTTAGAAAAAATACTTTATATTATTTATCTAAGTTCAGTGATCTAGAATATAATAATAATGTAAATTCTTTGATAAATTTATATATTCCAATTAACTAAAGTTTATAGTATTTCGCTGAGAACCTGTACTGTTAATATAAATGTATTCGAATAAATTCCGATATCACTTTAATCAAAGTCATAAATTTATAGGTACAAAATCTAATCATATTAATGAAACTATTCCCAAATTGCGACAATTATTACGCTCTATAGACTGCAGTGGTAATTCATCGATGGTTTTCACATTTCACACCAATTATTAAATACCAGCAATTCGATAATTAATTAGTGCAAAAAGAGCCGGGGACCCGCAATGGAATCGCAACGGAATCGCGGCGGGATCGCAGTAAATCACATTCGCACAATGCCGGCAGGTGGCGGCGGCGTCGCGCGATAATACTGCCGTTTAATTACGCGGAATAATTAGTGAACGGAATATTTTCCGCGCCCTAACTATCTCCGCCGTCTTCCGGCGATAACTAGGCGGTAATTGCGGATTAACCTCGCATTCAGAATTTAATAGGTGCTCGAACCGCCGCGTGGTATACGCCGCCAGTCGAATCCGGATGACGCTATTTGATTAGTGAAGTCAATTTAATTGTTTCCCGGATAATATTTTGCTTTTCATAGGCTTAATGTTCGCCGAATTTTAAATGCAGTTTTGGTCAAATATTATTATAAACATAGTTTAATCAGTTTTACCCCAATAAAACAGTTTCACGAAGTTTACGTATGTAGGTTTAATAGTTAGATAAGACTAGTCTTAAGCTTTCAGGGTACCATATGATTCATATAAATATTTTATCATCCACAGAGGTATTACGTAGTTACGTGTACTTTACTTGCTCAATCATATTATAAACTTAAAGTATATCAAAGTAGAGTCTATTCAGTATACAACAGAATATTTTATTCTTTGTAGATAGGTAACTAATATATTATAAGTATTTTTACGTAAGCTCAGATAATTTGGGCTTTATGGCACGTGAATAATTTTCTGTAACCCCTCGGTCCGTCTCCACGACAACGTTTGATCTAAGTAATAGACGGTAAAAAATAAATAGCTCCTGTAAGCGCATTTCACCTGCGACAATCCCGAGTGTAGTTATTGCCCGGGGTGGCTAGTTGAGCGTAAACTTTTGATATTGGCGCGAAATATTAATTTCGCAACGCCAATGAACAGTGAGGCGTGCGTAATGCCGGCAAATTACGCTGAGTGCCTTTAATTTTGCGTTCCAGGTTTTAATTCATCTACCGTAAATTATTATATTGATATTTTTCATAATATAGAGAATCTAAATAAAGATAAAAATGTTTTGCCGCATCTTAATCATAAACTACTCTACCGAGGTAAACTTTGTGAAAAGTTGTCTGCGGGTATTTCAGTCTCACTTATTTCACCCGCCAAGCGGCCTGGTTTGGAAGCTGTTATTATTAATTTATAACTGTGTTTCGACTAAGGGTCAGAAACGTAAGACAGTAAAATTATAAGATAAGAGACAGTCTTAGTCCTCTGGAATGGCAACGGATGAGCGGTATCACGGGAGTAACGTAATTACGTATGTCCCTACGTATATAGCCAACGGTTACTGCTTACCTTGTTTGAAATACGAAGCAATAAGTGACGTCACAAACTGTCGTATGATGGCTGCACGCATCTATTTTTAGTATCTACTAGGTACTAATAAGTAATTTTGCCACTATTAATTAATTAAGGAAATGCAAACTAACTTAAATTATATGTAAAAGAATGTTTAGACGTTTGTGACTCAAACACGCCAGTTGTAGAGATATTAAGGAAATTTTATTGATACAGATAGATGATATCCTGATTTATCACATGAGATATTTTCATCGTAACTTAGCACAATTTCCATAAAAGACTGTAGTAGTAGGTATAACTATTGTAGATTACATTTTCGAAATGTATGTTCTTGTGGTCTGTTGTTGGTGAGTACAAGAAAAATCATCAACTATGTATGTAATTATCGATATTTTTATGAAAAATACTTCTATTTTAAAAATGGGAATGACACGAATGAGAAGCAATTACCAATATTACTAGTGGAGCATTGACCGGGTACGCCAGATGGCGCTGGGGGCGATCATTTAAAAATCACTGCACATTGTTCCGAGCGCAACTAATTGCAGAGAAAGTGGGGTTCGATGGACTCCGGGACTAAATCATTTTCTAATAGAGGGAGCGGGTACGACGGTCCTTGATTAATTTTCGGCGAAAATATTTGTTTGATCGTAATTTGGAAATATACAAGAGCTGGCTTCCTTTACACGCCTACTATTTTGAAATCTATTCATTATATTTTTACTTATGAGTTCGTTTTGGCCATCATATGTCAATAACATGCGGGTAAGTGGTTTTAAAAAAAATGTGTCTTTCTACAAAATTAAAGATAGGTTGGTACACTGGGTAATACCTAGTCAGATAATTTACAATATTTTTATTAGTATTGATAAAGTGATAACTATTTAATATAAATATATGAGCTTCAGTTTTCGTAATATTGAATTGATTTTCTTTTTACCTTATTAAGTTTATTTAACATAACGATTAAATTTAAATGGTAATGGTTATCGCCATCGTATTTTGCTAAGTTGTTGTAAGGATATATTACCATAATGGCATAATAACACATTTTTCTTTGTGTTGCAGATTTTGATACCCCTGCTTGCGATACAGTAAGTATTATATGTAGTACTATTACATCTTATTCAAAGTATTAGATACGTTAAGTTGGGGTCTTGAAAAATATTTTAATACTTATTTAAAATATAATTAGATTAAAAATACACTATGAATACATTCCATATGATACATGAACCACTACAGAGTCTCCAAATACCTTTTCTTAGCTAAATACATACTTCTAATTACAATATAATTATATTGTAATTATTAGATATATATACAGGAATATGTATGTTGTACCTACTTATACATGTATACAGGCTAAGTAGTATAGTAGTATTTAACTCCAGTAAACAAATGCACAACAAGCATTAAATTTGACCGTGACGGGTCACCAACAACAATGGACCAATTGAATCAGACTTATTTCCTGTGAATCAGATTCATTTCCTTTTTACTCAACGTTCATTTGTCAATGTAGTTTCGGCCTAGACACCGACCAATTTAATTTGTTGATTGATTTTAATATTGTTGAGTGCGCTTACTGTTATTGGCTCTCAATGGAACAATATTTTTCACTATTTCCTAAGTAGATAGACCTACATAGTTAATTTACTATATGCTAATCATTATGTTGTTAGATAATAATATTTCAAAATAGATAGGACATGTTTTTATTACTTTTACGTTGTCACCAAGACGAGTATCACTCTAAGGAATTTTTTAATGTTATTTATTTATGTATTTAACTTCATTGCACATAAGTAAGATGTATATATGGCGGACTTAACATCTTGCGGCGTTATCTACTAGACAACCATAGGTGGTGCAGAGAAAGATTGTTGCCGGTGCACTAATATGAATGAGACATGTCATAAAAATATATAAGACAAATTTATATAAAATTCTGTAAAAATTATACATATATAATTATATAAATATACACTTATACACTATATACGAATAAACACTTACAATTGAATTGCTATTCATGTTAATATGGAAGTCAAATTTACCTACATAGTATTTTTTATAAGAGACATAACTACATAAGAGACTCATTTGTAGTCATCTAGAAACAATTTCTGAAAGTTAATTCGAGGTCGAAAAATACCAGTCCTAATGACACAACCCAACAGAATATACATCGATGTTAATCAATTTAATATAATACTTTGTAAAATCATCTTATAGGTATCAACGTACACCTAATATATTATACATGAGTATATGGTATGTATATGGTTATTATTATGGACTCTATAAAAAGTTATCGTTCCACTTGGCAGGACAAACCCCGCTATACACCGCACTAAACCAACTCAAGATTATCTCGTTCACAGTGAGAAATTTCCACTTTGCTTCCGCGCCATCGCCGCCCAAATGCTTTTTTAGCCAAAAAGCTTTATCACTTCCGTGGGGTCATGGGTTCTGGGCAGTCGGTAGGGTCAATGATATACTGATTTAACTGGATATGTCTCTAATATTAAAACAAAGATGCATATTCCTCATATTCACTTGGTAATTTATAATATTAATTTGTATAGAATAGACCTCATTTAATACGTCATAAGTGGGTACTTAAAAAAAAGTTGTTAAGAACTTTTATTGATTAATCTGTAGAACAAACAAACTAAGAAGTTTTTATTTATACAAGTATCTATTTACGAGTACATATTTAAAAACTAAATATTTTTTACTTTCATTAGAAGATATCCTTGCCTATATTATAATAATTAGGTATACTCTCTTATTTAGGTACATAGGTATAAATAGGATAGAAGATTTATTATGGACGTTGTTACATGTTATGCAATAAAGTTCAAATCCATAAATAAGTAAAACTGACACGGTTAGTCTATAAATGATAATATTGACAAATATAAACGATTATGTGCTGCTTCAGAATATTAAATTAAATTATTATATATGCTGGACAAGAAAATAAAAAAAATTGTGTTATAATGATTTCTCAGTATGGGGCAATTTAAAAACGAATAAATTATGTAGTAATTTGCGTACATAAAAATAGAGCTTTATAGATTGATTTTGAACGAAGTGTACGGCTCACTTTTTATTGTAAAAGAAGTTCGTTTAAACATTTTTGTTACTCTAATCTGTAAAATCTTGCATGTCACTTCTTGCAAGCATATATCATTGAGCAGACCACTGGGCAACGCTGCAGACTGCAAGCAGTGGATCACTTTTATAGCCGGATGCCGTAAAATAAATGTCGTGGTCCATCGCTAACCCCGGCTAATGATATCCTACGTATAGTAAACAGTGTAGTTTAGAAGCATGGGGGCTGAGGAAATTATGCCCCGTTTGTTTATAAATGGTGAAAAAATGCATCTCTACATGTTTTAGGTACTTTCATAAATAATATCTGACCATTGTTATAAAATATTGATATACATTAAAAATAAGAGGATGAAATTGAATTGTAATATGGGGGATTACATGATAATTATACGCGAGTACTCAATACAAAGCAGCATTTATTTCTCGAAAGATCGATACACCAATTAACTATTATAAATACCAGTCTATACGTTCTTTTATATACATAAAAGAACATTTCAAAACCATTCAATAAAATTCTTTATTAATGTATAAAGTTCCTACAAATCTCGTTGTTATATCAATATGTAAAATTATAGACATAATACTTCGGTGTATGTATTGTATTCTATTTCTACTATACGCAGGTATACCTGCATATCGAATTTACGTACCTACTACTATACTGTATTTCTGATATATATTAAAATGATAATTAATACAACAGTTAAGATAGGTTATACCATTTCACTATTACGTACGCTATATAACGACTAATAAACGCATGAATTCTCTAAAAATAGCTTACTAATACAAAAAAAATGTTAGTTACTTATTTAAGATGTAAATGCACTTATCATTGTCATATAATATATATGACAAGTGGTGACTGCGACTTCATAAGCGTGTACATTTGTTGATGATGATCAAATAACAATCTTTACGTAGTATAATATGTAGGCACTTCCGCTGTCTGCTCGCTTAGATCTTTTAAACTACGCAACGGGTTTTAATTGTGTTCAACGAAGTGATTCAAGAGGAAGGTTTATCTATATATAATACATGTTCACCCGTGTGAAGCCGGGGCGGGTAGGTAGTAATATATAAAGCGCGTTCTAATATTTAAATAAATAATAAAAAATAATAGGCTACGTATTATGGGTATTTCTCCCAACTTACTGAAGTCTACATATTGACCCATATTTAACATCATATTATTTAAAAATATCATCATAATTCCTCAAGCTCATTTATAAGTGTAACTTGAACACACAAACGGACAGTTTTTGCATTGTCACGATTTTACTATTTACTATTGTATATGTAGAGATATAGTTATAGCATTAAATCCACGATCGCGGCAGGCAGCGGGCGATTGCAATTCGTAATATATTGCCGACTTCCGTCCACTGGTGGCGAGTAATACCCGTCCGGAACGCCCCAAGGTACGCCCTCGGCCTGTAATGTACGCATTTTCCGCTATAAATTACCTAAGATCTTGTGGACATCGTAAAGTCCTGTGGTGATTAATGGACCATAGATGGAGGAAGAAGTAATATTACTTACTACTAAAAAAACAAGTTAATTATAAAGAATATTATAAGAAGTAGATGAGAATTCGATAATATCATTTTACTTGACTTGACTGGGTCGTCCGCTGGTCCTTATGGACCTCGAGCTGTGCTCTTTACCCGGGCGTACTGCTGGGGTGTGCCACCCCAGCGTCGTTCTTTTACCTGCCGGCCTACTGGCCGGCCGGAAGCCACAGCCCGCTGCTTCCCAGCAGCCGGCTGTGGTCATTTTATCATTTTACTACTTTATATCACACTAATTCTAAAGCGCGGCGTTGCCCGCTTGAAGCCCGAAGTGATAAAACAGCGTACCTACTATAAGACAAAAGAAATTTTAAAAATTCATCAAGTAATTTTTGCTATATCCATTATAAGCAAGTAAAACAAGAATTATCTATTTATATATATTAGTAACTTACTAGAAGTATACTTTCGATAGTTGTGATTAAACATTTACACAATATATAAAAAGTCACTATCGCGGCGCTGTCTGTACGCTTTGGTATTTTAAATTACAATTTTAATGCAGTGGATACAGTGTATCTATAATACGTGCATATTATAACTCAGAAAAGCCTAGAAATTCAAAGATTTGTAATGTACTCGAATGAAGCTAAAAGCTGTTAGTAATATAAAGCTTTACTTTTTGAATGAAAGGTACTATTCTTTACTCTATTTAATACAATAAGCAATAACAAATACACCTACATATCCAATATCTTAAAGTATATCTAAATATACTTTAAAAGGATATAAAACGGTATCACTTGGTGCCATGAACATGACTAGCGACACCTAACGCCTCGCAATTTCCGTACCACAATTAATCATTTCTTCGGACTGCCTTCATTCCATTACTGTTTAAGTTTTCATTTTCATTAGCCAGTCTGTCTGTTTGCATTAGCTTTGTGTTGGAATACATTACGTTTCGTTTTCATTATTTTGTGACATGATTTGTTATCTGCTACGCGAATTTAGACTACCCACATACTCTTTGTTTTAAAATTGTTAGTAGTTTTGTAAGTATAGATGTATAAGGAAGTATATAGTACTTCCTTACTTTTGAACAATAAAAGTGCCTAATATTCATGTAAAAACCATAGTACACTACTATTATGTAAGTCATCACGATTGATTTCAAAACGAATCATCGAAATCGTATCAAATTCAGCTAGGACAACGCTTAATATAGTATGTATTATAACATTGTAGAACTGAAATATCCTTTACTTTATTAAAAACAGCCGCCAGTTTATGATATGTCAATGCTGTCTATATTTTGACTGATTCTAATAATATAGATGACGATACCAAATATTGATTTAGAATAAAATATGTAATGTACATAGCAAATGTAATAGCAACTCGGTATATAGTTTACAAGTCTGTTTCAATTTTGTTTCTCTTAAATTTCACAA